GTCTGCCCCTGACATACACACTGATGGGCAAGCACTATAGGGCATCTGTCTGAAAGCTTGCAGGGCTGTAAGTACTCTTCATCTCCTTGGCCTTACCTATGTGGGTGGTCAGGCCAGTGTTCTTGGATTGGTTACATCCTTCTTCAACTCATCCTCTTTCTGGATCTCCTGCATCACAGTGGTGAACATTTTGGATGAATATACACCCTTGTTTTATATCTTGCCTGACATTTGTGAACCAAGTTATTTCTCTTGTTAAATCTTTTCATTTTTATTTTAAAAAAGTAACTTTTTTTCAGTCAGCAAAAATACACCTTCTTTCCTTCTCATTCCTCCTTCCCCATTGAAAAATAAAAATAAAATCCCTGTTATAAGCATGTAAAATAAATTGAAACAAATTTACTTACTGGCCATGTAAATATATGTTGTTATTGTTCAGTTGTTTCAGTCACATCTGACTACATATATATAATATCTGTATGTGTGTGTGTATAAAGTATACTGGTGTGTGTGTGTGTGTGTGTGTGTGTGTGTGTGTGTGTGTGATAGATATAAAATTCTTCACTCTGACCCTTTCTCTTCTCTATCAGGTGGGTAGCATATTTCATCAGTCCTCTGGAATCACAGTTAGTCATTATACTGATCGGAGTTCCTAAGACTTTTAACATTGTTTGTCTTTACAATATTGCTGTCATTGTATAAATTGTCCTAAATCTTTCTATGTATCTCTGAAACCATTCCCTTCATCATTTTTAAAACATGATAATATTATTTCACATTTATATGCCATAATTTGTTCAGCCATTCCCTCATTGATGGGTACCCTTCCAGTTTCTGGTTCTTTGCCATTGCAGAAAATAGCTGTAAATATTTGTATACATCCTTTTTTAGAGTTTGTTTTGTTTTGATTAGGACTAATCCCTTCTTTAATCTACCATCTTTTTAATTCCCCTTCTCCCTTTTCACTGCTATTTCCCTATTGAGTGAAATGTAGTATCTATACCCAATTGTGTATCCGTACTCTTCCCACCACTGACCATTTCAGGTGAGAGTAACGTTCAAGTGTTATCCACTCCCTCCCACCCCTTCCTCCATTTTCTTAAAACTTCTCAGTCTTTTGACTTGTGATAATATTTCTTGTTGTTTCACAGAGTCATTAGCTTTTGTTTGGTCCATTCAAATTTTCAGAGAGAGTTGTTTGTTTTTTTGGGGGGCGCGGGGTAAGGTTTTATACCTTGTGCCAAAATTACTTATTCTCTTTTCAAGTCTTCTATAACTTTAATTTCTTTTCTGTTTTTCCTCTTTTTGAAATTTAATTTATGGGGGGGGGGGGCAGCTAGGTGGTACAGTGGATAGAGCACCAGCCCTGGAGTCAGGAGGACCTGAGGTCAAATGCGACCTGAGACACATAATACTCACTAGCTGTGTGACTCTGGGCCAGTCACTTAACCCCAATTGCCTCACCCCCCCAAAAAATTAATTTATGAAAATGTAGTTTAACTTTAAAAAAACCTCTTGTTTAATCTCTTCCAGGAATTTTAGTTGAGTTTGTGCCCAAGTCGTGTTTTCCTCTGAGGCGCTGCTTGTAGATGTTTTGGAGTCAGTCTGTTCTGGGTCTGTATCCCGAGTGTCTCTGTCACCCTAAAAGCTTTTTTGGTGGAATTCTTTTTTGTTTGCTCATTCTGTCACTGACTTCACATTTGGCGGTAAGGCCAGGCTCTGAGTCAAACAGCTGCTGTTTGTACTCCGCTGCATAGTCACCTCCAGTGACTGACTCCCTTTCACTTCCAGGATTAAATATAAATCCTCTGCTTGGAATTCAGAGTCCTTCTTTGTTGCCCCACCACTCCTCTTTTCAGCCTTCTTATATCTTACTTCCCACCATGTCTTCTTCTATCTAGTGACACTGGTTTCCTGGCTGTACCTCAAACAAGATGCTTTATGTCTCAGCTCTGGGCATTTTTCTGGTTGGCGCCCTTGCCTGGAACACTTTCCCTCCTCTTCTCCACTTCTTAGCTTCCTTTAGGTCCCACCTAAAATCCTACCTTCTACAGGAAGCCTTTCTTGGTCCCTCTTAATTCTAGTGCCTTCCTTCTGTTGACTGTTTCCTGTTCTTCTTGTATGTAGTTGTTTTTTTTTCATATAGTTGTTCACTGTCTCCTCCATTAGGCTGTGATCTCCTCAAGGGGGACTGTCTCTTGCCTTTCTTTGTATCCCTGACACTTAGAACAATGCCTGGCCCATAGTAGGACATGTGCTGTTTTAACTGTTCCCAATATGAATGAATTATTATGAATCATGAATCCCATGAAGTGGTAGCATTATTGGAATTCACACAACAAATTTCCGTTGGACTGGACCTAGTTGACCATATTTTATATAATTATAATTTCAAATACTGTGACTTTAGATTGTGAAATGGTAAAGATGTGATCCATTGTTGAATATTCCTTATGAAAGCCTGTTTGATCCCTCTCAATACCCTTGTCAGGGACCCCTCTGATTTGTATATAGATGAAAAAAAGAAAGATTTTGCACAGAAGGGAGAGTAGGCATTTAAGTCAATAGTTGCTGATGTTTCTCAATTGCTTTGTGGGGGGGGCGGGGTGGTGGGTAGGTATTAATAAGGTTCGGTCATTTTTCCATGACTTTGGTATCTTTCTCTCCTTTTGATGCCTTGAATATTAGAACTTCAGTACTCTCGTAGCTGTGGGGTCTCCAGTAGAGGTGTGTCATTTCTTCTGCTTCTGCTGTCTTTGATCCTTTCGATGCTATTTCTACCTCATCCATAAGCAGATCGGGACTGTGATATTAGACTCTTAAGTGTAGTGGTCCCATTGTCCTTGATGATGGAAATAATTTGTCATAATGATTTTACAGCTCCCTTTCTCCCCCACTTTTCTTCTGTTTGTTGTCCTCTTATTTTTGTCCTTAAATGCCCTTGGATGACTTTGCTTAGTTGGGTGTCTTTTCAAACTTTCCTTAAACTGGTTTTACCCTCCACTGCTTCTTTCTGCTCTATGAGGCAATACTGCTCATGTGTCATAAGATTTCATGAATAAGTTTCTTTACTAACCTGCTGTTACCTTTGGTGGCCATTTGGCAAGAAGGTCAGATCTTTGATGATTAAGGTATTTTCTGAGCTCTTTTGGTCTCCTTGTTTGTGGCAAGTTATTCACATTGGTTAAACTTCTATATAACAGCTTTATTAACAAGTGTTGGCGTTTTTGTTGACCATTCCTCCTTTCTGATGGTCAATGAGTAGTTTCAATGCTTAAGGGTTGAGTTGTTTCAATTGTATGCTGTATCTTTTTCTTATTACTATTCTTGCTTTTTATTGATTCTAATCATACATAGCTCAGACTGTACAGAGAGCTGATTGCAACCCATATCAATAAGAACTAACTCTTTCTCAATATAAATTTTGTAAATTTTGTAATGGTACTCAGTGGTCAACATGTGACAAATTCTTTTCTCGAAGTGTTCACGATATAAAAGCATGAAGCTTCTGTATACTCTGTAGGTTTTTGGCATCTTGTTCCTTCTCCCTGTACCATGATTTCACGTTTATTTCTCCCCATCCTTACCTTTTCCCACTTTTACAATGAGATCACCAAATGTTAGCGTGTGTATTGGTTTAATTCGGAGGGCCTTATAGAGGTCTTTGGACAATTGCTCTTCCTCTTCATCTTCAGTTAGTTTAATAATTGGCTAAATAGATTTTTGTAATATCAGTATATTTATTTACCTATAGAAACTAGAAGAAAAAAAAGAATGGCATATTTATTGCCCTTGTGAAGAGGAGAAAAAATTGTATTAATTGGAAAAAATGGAAGTAATGGATTAAAAATAGATGGATTTGTTAGTAACAGGGTCTTCCTAGTTTAAAAAAAATTCCATTAAAAATAAAAAGAAAATTAAAAATTTAGGGAAAATTATTTGTATTTCCAATAAAAATCAGCAGGCAGGATTTATGAGGAACTGATACTAATTAACAAAATTTTTTTCATAACAGAAATGACAAGAACATGAACAAGAAATTCTCAGAAAAAACTAAAATTGTTCATTCATATTGGTCAAACTCTAATAAGCAGAAATGTGCAAGTTTAATAATCTTATGGCACCATTTAAAATTCATCAAATTAGCTAAGAGTTTAAAATAATATTTGACGTTAGTAGGGATATAGAGAAAGACACGTTAAGATTGTTATAACTGAATCACTGCAGCTTTTTTGGACAGGGATTATATTCTAGAGTTGTTATTAAGAGTAAAAATCCAATCTGTACAAAAATATTCATTTTAGCTTTATTTGTAAATGTAAAAATCATTAGAATCAGTTTTCACATCCTATTATTGGGAAGGGGTCAAATAAATTGGGATATATTAATATAATGGAATTTCATTGTGCCACATGTAAAATGGTGAGAGGCTGACAGTAATCAGGGAGACTTTCAAAGCTTTCCTCTGACACCAACAAGCTGTGTGATCAAGGACAAATCACTTAACCTCTCAGTGCCCCAGCCAACTTTCTAAGACTATAAGATGAGTTAATTTTACTTAATGAGATTTAATTAATTTAAATCTGCATTGTTAGAGGGAATTTCCATATTGGAAGCTTTCCATAACTGAAATCATTGGTCTGGACCTTCCCTCCTTTCCCTGCCCCCATTAAAAAAAAAATGAAATGACAAACATGAAAAATGCAAAGAAATTTCAAAAGATATATTAAGTCTTGCAAAACAAGCAGAGTCAAGATATAACCTGACTACTACTAATGTAAAAAACTTCTAAGTGCATAGAAATCAGTGGAGAACAGTGGAGGGCAGATAAGATGTTGCTGTTCTTTGGTTAATTTTAAAAATTAAAATGTAAATAGTTTAGATTATGGTTTTATTGTGGTTCATTTGGGTTGATGTTAATAAGTATGAAAATTTGTTTTTTTAAAAAACAATGAGGAATGAACACATGCACATTTCTGATTTCTTTTTCATTTTTGTAGAGTCACGAAGTTGCAGCCATCTTAAAAAATGAGAACCACAAAGTTCGTTTTTCAAATTCAGTAGAACCTGGATCCATTATTTTTTCTCTTTCTGGTATAGTATATTTGCTAACAAGCTGGTTCATGTTGACATAGAATATGTTGGCAGAAATTAAAGTGATCATGTATGTAGCACAATAGGTGTGAAATTGTAGTAGAGAAATCATACCTCATACACGAAGATTATAAATGTATTCAGATTTAAAAACCAAACCCTTGCTGTCTGTAGATTTTCCAGAATAATAAGCAAAATTAACTAGGTTAAAAAAAATGGAGACAATTTCTTGCTTTGCATTACAAAGTAAAATAGTTACAGAGCCATGAGTCCTTACTCGCAACCTAATTTTATATTATTCCCCAAGAGGAGACATCCAAAGACATTTCTTTTTCAGAAGCTTAATAACTAGATCGAAATGGCTTAGGAGGCACCGTGATACATACACCCAGGATCAGCTTTAAAAGGGGGGGGGCAGTCGTGGCCTGAAACAAGCTGACTTGGTCAAGACAAATAGTCTAGAAAAAAGAGCTTCCTGGGGCTGCCTAGATTGTTCTGTTCTACCAGAATTTTGTTAGGGTGACTATTGCTACATAACCTTGCTCACTTGAGACCTAGGCATCTTTCTGGGGCTCTGTATTTTGGTTGTAAATATTGTTTATCACTGGATTTGACCTCTATAACAAACTGCTATTTACAGTATGTTTACCTTTCTTAGGGGTTGCGTTTTTACTGCTAGACACCCAGGACTGTTTTATGACAACTGAAGAAACCCTTTTGGCCCAAATTGAGAAGTTCATGAGGATCCACCGGAACAGCTTTTTGGCCCTCTCTGCCGCCCTCCACGGCCCTCGTGAGTGGAGGTTGATGTTCAGGATTCAGCAGAGGTGAGGCTCACCACCTTGCTCTCTGCGGTTGGCTGGAAGGTTTCTTCTAGCCCTGGAGCTTTTAATAAGGCAGGTGAATTTAGGTTTGCTTATCCAAAGAAAATTTGCCAGAGGATAAAACTCATCATGTTGCCCTGTCTTTTTAATGGGACTCACGCAGAATGCTGCTCTATGAGTCAGCGTGACAGCCCCGCTGCCATCCTGGAGCCAAAGGAAAAATCAGCCCTTTCTGTCACACTAAATATTTTCAGCTAAATCATATCCACACAGTGTGCAGTGCAGTTTGGGAAGTACGACAAGCATTTTCCTGCGTCTTTTGTCCATACACATTTCATGGGGTAAAACTAACAAATAAACTGCTAGACACCTTGAAACCCACTCTGCCTTTTGTCGCCTTCTGGAAAGGCTCGATACCCAACAGTCACCGTGTCCCTCTTCGTCATCCCTCACCATTTCAAGAATACTAACTAGCTCGCCATCAGCTTATAGCCTCTGTAACATTTGTAATCTGTTTCAGATTCCTGGGTGATAATTTACGCATCATTCCAGTCCACAACCCATTAGACACTGTTAAACTGATGACCACAATAGCTAAGGTAAGCCCCGCCCCCCCCAAGGTAAAGAAACAGATGAATATTTCTGGGATCCTGCATCTAAGGAAAGTGCCCCTTTACCTTCCATTACGTTATGGTCCAAATCAGTCTGTTTAAGGCCCTAAAGAATGGAATCCATCTGTGGAATTCCTGGCAGACATGGCCTCCATGATTTCTGGAAAGCTGCATTAATACCCGAGTACTGAAGGCATCGCTTATTTCATTAAAGGGTTGATGTAAGTGGAGCGTTTAGTAAGCTGTCCTTGGCTATTATGAATTACCTGAAGCTAAAGGGACTTTAAGAATGATGGGTAACCAAGACATGGAAGCATGACAGGCAAGGGTGAGCCCAGGGCCCCAACCCAGAAACCAAACATAAATGTAGCGGTGAACAAGGAGAAAATTGTTCACCTGCAGGTATGCTCAAATACACCGGGCTTCCTTTGCCTAACTGTGGAATTGAGAGCTGGAAGAGAACTTGGAGGTGACCTCATCTACCCTCTTCAGGTGTCAGGTGACTCGTTCAAGGCCACGGAGGCACCAAGGGGCCGTCTTGTTTTGAACTCAGGTCCTCTCTAAGTCCAGTATTCTTCCCACCCCAGGCAGGTTTCATTTCCAGGAAGATGGACATCTACTAATGAGACAGATTAACTGCCTCTACTTGTTCTGGATTAGGTCGATCAGTTAAGCAGAATGTTTCCCTGCTGCATGGTTGGAATGTTTGCATGTGACATGACAACAGTAATTTGTTTTGTTCTAATAATGTGTCTGTGCTTGGGTAAATAATAACGTAGTTTTTTTTTTTTCTTTTTCCAGAGCACTTGCAAACCATATATCGACAACATTCATTACAGAATGAATATTGCTAAAGCCCAGATCATAGAGCAAAGTCCTGTTTGGAAAACACTTCGCAAGATACAACTGGATTGTGATTCCATTAATATGTAGTGTTACCATTAAAACTTGGCTACTTTCTTCACAGTAAAGTTCATCCCATCTTGTGCATATAAAGATAAGGACCGTTACTGTGTACAACATTCTCCTGGTTCTGCTCACTTCACAGCATCAGATCATACAAGTCTTTACAGGTTTTTCTGAAGTCAGCCTGTTCATCATTTCTTATAGCACTATAGTATCCCATTACATTCATATACCACAACTTGTTCAGCCATTCCCCAGTTGATGGGCATCCCCTCAATTTCTAATTCTTTGCCACCACAAAAAGAGCTGCTATAAATATTTTTGTACATGTGGGTCATTTTCCCATTTTTATGATCTCTTTGGGATACAGACCTAGAAGTGGTATTGCTGGGTCAAAGGGTATGCATGATTTTATGGCGCTTTGGGCATAGTTCCAAATGGCTCTCCAAAATGCTTGGATTATTTCACAACTCCACCAACAATGCATTAGTGTTCCAATTTTCCCACATCCTCTCCAACATTTACCATTGTCTTGTTTTGTCATGTTAGTCAGTCTAATAGGTGTGATGTGGTAGCTCAGTCATTTGGATTTGCATTTCTCTTTTCAATAGGGATTTAGAACATTTTTTTCATAGGACTTTAGATAGCTTTAGTTTCTTCCTCTGAAAACTGCCTATTCATATCCTTTGACCATTTATCAACTGGGGAATGACTTGTATTCTTATAAATTTGACTCAGTTCTCTATATATTTTAGAAATGAGGCCTTTATCAGAAACACTGGTTGTAAAAATTTTTTCCCAGTTTTTTACTTTCTTCCTAATCTTGGATGCATTTGACTTTGTGCAAAAACTTTTCAATTTAATGTAATCAAAATTACCCATTTTGCCTTTCATAATGTTCTCTATCTCTTGTTTGGTCATACATCCTTCCCTTCTCCTTAGTCCCTTCTCCGTAGATCTGAAAGGTAAACATTTTGTGCATATAAAAATAAGGACCTAAGTATTTAAAATTATCATACTCAAGTATAAGGTTAGTTACTTAACAGATCTGTTCAGAATAATGAAGTGTAAAATCCAAGTGGAAGAGGGATTCTTCCCAATCTGTGGCCCTCCAGATGCTCATCTTTGGATGATATCGTGTTAATTGCATCCAGGCCCAGAACATCCCAGGGCACCTTCACTGAGACCCATAAATAAAGAAAGGAAATCAGCCTACTAATCCATGTAGGAAAAACTAAATGGATAAAAATATACCTGTTGTCAGGGTCTAATGTACATTTGGAATGCTGGTCTCTATCAGAGACTCTATTCTCTATTTGAGAAATTGTGCAGGACTTTTACAATGTCTAAGATGCTCTCCAGCACAAAACCCCTTGTGAACGGTGTCTCAGACTTCAGAATTTAAAATGCCATACAAATCTTTTTTTTTTTTTGCTGAAATTTCCGAACTTACTACTTACTACCAAAACACAGGAATAGTTTACTGTCAGGTTGAGGTAAATCTGTTTTAAACTAACAGAATACCACAACTCTCTAATAAGACAAATCAGCCGTTAAGGAAAAGGAGAATAGCAGCATTTATTTTCTAGCAGCAAGAGCCTAGTGACTGAAATAACTTCTTAAAAAAAAAAAAAGACGTTAAAGTCAAAAGGGCTTCACATAGAATGAACGAAACAGGTTTCAATGCTTCTACAGCTGCTCCAGCTCTTCAGGCAGGGAGGCCTCATTTCAGCCGAGCCGTTTCTTCAGATGTAGGTTTTGTTTTCAGTTCAAAGAGTTCTTCTACTCGGGCCAGAACACTTTCTATCAAATCAAAGGTGAAAAGAGCTGAATGAAGAACCTAGAATGTCAAGAAAAATTAATGTTATTGACATAAAGACCTTTAAAAAACCCAATAACAACAAAACTACGAAAGAATGTACATTGCAGGTCAAGAGCTGGCTTTCCGAAACCTAAAAAGCTTAAGAAAAATCTTCATTCACCTGAAGTTGCATCTCAGGAGTCATGTTAGGAACATCAGGAATTTTCTCTCCACCAACTGTTACTGGGCAAGGATTTTTAGGATTATGAGATTCTGTAACAGAAGAAAACAGCTAACATTTGTCAGATTCAATTAAACTTATTACAGTAGCTACAGTTTCCACCGATAATTTCATATGCCACTTTTGTTATTCACTAGAAAATGTCTTCTTTTCAGTATTTAAATTATGAGCAAATTACCATGGCCTACTGATGTAATATTTGAAAGAAACCATTTGCTCAAATGAAATTAAGCAAAAGTTTTAATTAAATTCAAAATTAGAGTCCGTACAGCTGATATTGTATTTATTCATGCAAGTGATAATTTGCTGGTATATAACTGTTCTAAGTTTTTGGAAAATATGGAAAAGGATAGTTAAATTTGGGACTTGTTAGATGATCAGAACTGTAAAACTTGTCAATATAAAAAGAATAACTGACTACTTTAAAAGTATAGAAATATCTACTATTGTGAATATAAATGCCATTGTACAGATATTATAGAGACCATGCTGAAGGAATAATATTGTTAAAAGTGTTAACTTAAAATACTAGAAACCAGTTAGTTTTTAAGGTTTAATTTTATATTTTACATGGAAATAGGCAATATTCAAAGTATGGTGCTACTCAAATGTAAATGTATTGCTATTTGCTCATCAAAAAAGCACTAATAAAAAGGATTTTTGTCCTCCAGAAATAAGCACACACCTTGAGTTGTGCCACGTCTTTGTCGAACTTGAACAAGAACAAATATGAGGGAAGGGTAAGTGTGAATCAGCTTGTACAGCCATTGGGTTAAAAACAAGAAGTAGTTTAGTCATAGCTTAAAAAAAACTAGAAAGAATGAGAGATTTGGCTCCCTGTTGGCCTGAATTAAATATCTCCTGCACTTAAGTTCTTATCTTTGTTTGAATATAAAATTTTGTTTGAATCTGAGGTTCTAAAACAGGTAGTAAAAACAAGCAACAAACCTTGTCTGCTTTCTTTTTTGCTCTTAATTTCTGCTTCATAATGTGCCTTGGACATATTAAGTCCTGTGTGTAGTGGTTTTAAGAAATTTGTCTCAATATTCTTCCGTTCTGTCCATAATCCAGTCTGTTCAGAAGAATTAAGGAAATTAATTAATCATATACATTAATGCAATAAGTAATTTCAAGAATATAAACCAAAGCTATCCCAACCCCAAACCATCATTTTTAAATTATGCTTTTTGGTTTTTTTTTAATCACATTCACTTATGAATATATCCTATTCCTATCCAAGGAGCCTTCCCTTGTAACAAAGATTAAGAAAGAAAATCAAGTAGTTCAACAGAACCAATATAGCAACCATGTCTGACAGACTATGCAGTATGTAGGGTGCATTTGCCTAATTCATCTGAGATTCAGCTTTCTCATTGTTACAAAGCATTCAATATAATTTTATTGTTCTTTCTGTTTATACTTCAATTAAAAAAAAAAGCACTTAAGTGCCTCCTATGTGCCATGCACTGTGCTAAGCACAGGGGATACAAAAGAGGCAAAAGACAGTCCCTGCCCTCAAAAAGCTTACAGTCTAATGGAGGAGACAGCAAGTAAACAACAAAGCAAGCTATATACGGGATAAATAGGAAATAATTAAAAAAGGGAAAGCACCGAACTTAAGAGGGGTTGGGGAAGGCTTCCTGTAGAAGGTGGGATTTAACAGAAGCCAGGGAGTTCAGCAGTTGGAGCAGAAGAGGAAGAACATTCTAGGCATGGGGGACAGCCGGAGAAAATGCCCAGCGCCAAGAGATAGAGTGTCTTGTTCATGAAACAGCCAGGCCAGTGTCACTGGATCAGAGAGTAAATGTTGGGGAGTAAGACGTAAGCAGACCAGAAAGGTAGGAGAGGCTAGGTTATGAAGGGTTTTGGACACCAAACAGCATTTTGAATTTGCTTATGAAAGCAATAGGGAGCCACTGGAGTTTACTGAGAGGGTGGGTGGGTGGACAGGGTCAAACCTGTGTCTTAGTATATATAGTAGCTGAATGGAGGATGAATTGGAGTGGGGAGGCTTGAGGCAGGCACACCTCCCCCCACCCCCAACAGCTACTGCAATAGTCCAGGCATGAGGTGATGAGGGTCTGCACCAGACTGCAAGCAAACTGGAGAGACATTATAAAGGTGAAATCAACAGGTCTTAGCAACAGATTGGATGGGGAGGGGGGTGTGTGACATAGTGAGGAATTCAAGATGGACTTCCAGGCTGGAGCCTGGGGAACTCGGAGGGTGGCCTTGCTCACTATAGTAACAGGAAGGTAGCAGCGGGGAATTGTCCAGGGGGAAGATAATGAGTTCTATTTTGAACATGTCGAGTCTACTGGACATCCAGTATGAGATGACCAAATGGCAACTGGAGATGCAAGAGTGGAGCTCAGCAGAAAGACTGGAGTAGGATGGGGAGATTTGAAAAGCATCAGCATTGAGATGATAATTAAATCCATGGGAGGTGATGAGATCACCAAGTGAAGTGGTATAGAGGGAGAAGACCCAGGAGGGAGCCCTGAGGCACACTTAGGATTAGAGGGCACGACCTGGATGAGGATCCAGCAAAGGAGACAGAGAATGTAGGAGGAGAGGTAGGAGGAGAACCCGGAGCAAACCATTTTGTTTATTGGAGCTTTTGTGTATAGTTTTCCCAGTTCTGCTTCCTTACTGATTAACTTATTTAAGCCTTCTCATATTTCTCTGAACTCCGCACATTCACTGTTTCTTATGGTGCAACAATATTACATCAGATTGGTGCACCATGTCCTGTGTAAGTTGGATAGCTGTGTTTTTTACATCAATGATTACTCTCTTCCCTGTAGCTACAGGACAATCCACATGGTTGTACAGGTCTTGTCTTTTCCCTGTACACCAGACCCTGTAACTTCATGTTACCTATTTCCCTCACACTTCCAATGATTTCCCTTGCCCGAGGATTAGTTTCTGAGTCTCCCTCCATGCCAGTCAGTGAGCATTTATTAACTGCCTATATGCCAGCCACTGCTAGGTGCTAGGAATACAAAGATGAGAATGAAATTGTGCCTTCCCTGAAGGAGATTACATTCTACTGGAGGAGATGTGAACATAAGCAAACAGACACAAAATGAAGACCTGATCTTTTTTTCCAGGGAGGGGACTGCACGTGGAGGGGTCAGGAGAGGTTTCATGTAGATAGTAGCACATGAGAAGAATTTTTGAAGGAAACAGGGATTCTAAGAGGGGCCAAAGGGCAGCCAGCGCAACAGTGAAAAACAGCAAAAAGGTCATTTTGGCTGGACTGTATAGTATGGAAGGGGAGTAACATATAATAAGAAAAGGTTTGGTAAAGGTAGGCTTGGGCTAGGTTGTGAGAAGGCTTTAAAAGCTAAACAAAAATGTTTTTAAAACACTAAGTCTGTCTTTTGTTCTGGAAGATAGAGGAAGCCATTGGAGTTTCTTGAATGAGAGTGACATGGTCACACCTGCACTTTGGCAGCCGTGTGGAGGATGGATTGGAGAAGGGAGAGATGTAAGGCAGTAAGACCAGTTAGGAAATGATTGGAACAGTCCAGACAAGAGGCAAGGGCCTGAATTAATGAGTGTGTTGGTTGTCTGAGTGAGGAGAAGGGGACATATTTGAGTGAGAGATGTCGTGGAAGAGGAAACAAGATCTGGCAAATCAATGGCTATGTGGGACAAGTGAGAGCGAGGAGTGAAGGATGGCACCATGACTGCCAACATGGGTGACAGGAAGGATGGTGGCACCCTCAACTTAAATAGAAAAGTTTGGAAATGGGAAAGGTTTTGGAGATTTGTTTTTGACAGATTGAGTTTGAGATGCCTATGGAACATCCAGTTTGAAATATTAAAAAGGCAGATGGAAATCAAGACTGGAGTTCAGGATAGAGACTAGGGCTGAATAAATAGATTTGGGGATCATCTGCTTAGGTGATAATGAAACTCACTGAATTGATGAAGGCCCAAGTGAGTGTGGGAAGAAGACAGAAAAGGACCAAAGATAGAGCCTTAGGGACAACCAGTCAGGGGAGGATGCAGGAGAGTCAACAAAGGAGAATGAGAAGAAGCCATCAGATACGTAGAGCGAAAAGAATTTGTTATGAAAAACCACAGGGGAGAATATCAGGGAGGGGGCATGTTCAGTAATGTCACATTCTGCAGAGAATTAAAGAAGGCTGAGGAAATGAGAGAAAGCCATCAGACTGGGAAGTTAAAAGATGGTTGAAGAGAAAGACTCAAAGAATATGACCAAACAGTTCTCAAAAGAAGAATTGCAGAGTATCGATAACCACATGAATGCTCCAAATCACGAATAATAAATATAAATCAAAACAATCCTGAGATTTTCATCTCAAACCTCAAAAAACGACAATAGTCAATGTTGGAGGGGTTGGGGTAAGCTAAGCAAATTGATGCACTGTTGTTGAATTGGCACAACCATTTTGAAAATCAATGCAGAATTACGCAAATAAGTGACTAAAATATCCCCCCCCACCCCGACACAGAGATTCCATTTCTACACGAACTGATGCAGAGTGAAGTAAGCAAAGCCAAGAAAACAATATACACAATGATGGCAACCATGTAAATGGAAAGAACAGCCACACAAAACCAAAAGTGAAAGCTATATGATGATCCAAACCCTTCAGAAGAACCCATGCTTTTGAAGGCAGAGGCTCTTTCAGTTTTGTCATGGCATGATTTGAATGAGGACCTTTGGAAGGAGCTGGGGGTGTTTGGCTTGAGGAAGAAAAGACTTGGAGGGTGAGGGAAATGACTCCTCTTGTGAGGTACCTGAAGGAACGTCCTGTGGAAGAGGGATTTGACTTGGTCTGCTTGGGCCCAGAGAACAGAATGAGGGGTAATGAGTAGGAGAGGCACAGATGTCAGTGCATGTAAAAGAAAACCTCCCAACAATCAGAGCCATCCGGAAAGCCCAGGCTGCCCAGGGACCTGGCTGCAAGAGGGCGTCAGGCCAAGGATGGCTGACCGAGCCTCTGAACGACCAGCTTCATGTTCATGTCAAGGGCCTAGACGGCCCTTCCAACACTGGCTGTTCTGTGATTCTGCCTGTATGATTTGTATAGTTTGTATTCAGTTAATAGGACTCCAACTTCAGAACAAATCCCTTGTGTTTACTTTTCTTCACGCATACGTCCCTCTACCCCCGTTAAGAGGAAGTTCCTGGGAGGCACTTTTGTCTGCTTCCCACCATTAATAAATGCTTGTTGAAATGAATCATTCTAAATAATCTAGACAAGGGGATAGTTTTCCCTGAGCCACTTGAGAAATTACACTGTTCTGTGATCTAGTTTGTTTCCAATGAATTTATAATTATTTGCTCTTAAGTCCTAACACCTATCCATGGGTAGAAGAGATAGCTGAAGATTACGACTTATTAAAAATGAAATGTAAATATTTGTATATATATATGTGTGTGTATATATATGTGTGTGTGTATATATATGTGTGTGTATACATATATGTGTGTGTGTGTGTGTGTGTGTGTATATATATATACATATAATTTTTTTTTAAGGCCATTGGGGTTAAGTGACTTGCTCAGGGTCATACAACTAGTAAGTGTTAAGTGTTTGGTCTGAGGCTGGGTTTCACCTCAGAAATATTTGTATATTGATCATGTTAGATCAACGAATGTTTCATAAACTCCCCTACTGGCTGAAAAGATATGAAAACTGCAGAATTCTTGTATAAATACTTAATTTCACTCCTTCGAAAGGAAATAAAAGTAAAGTGCTACTATAAAGTTTTTCTGTTTAACCTAGCATGTATGAAAGCTTTTATTTACCATAAATGCAAAAATTTATTTCAGCACATAAATAAAAGTTATGGTTACTAAGTGAGGACGATATTCTAAATTTTCTTGAATTCTATGAATTCATAATATGGCAATTAAATAGCTCCCCCGGAAGAGCGTCCCCACCAGTGATACACTGGAACAGGTTTTAGTTATAGCTCATGAGCAGTATATCTCAACAGTCTTTTATTTTTAAATTAAAAATTTAGGTAAGCACATGTCTAAACTTAGAATAAGAAAAATGTGTTAAAGAGAAGTCAAGCTTCTGTTCA